CACAGACAACAAGTATAGCAATCCAATAATCTGACTGATATCTATACTCAAATAATAATGAGATACGGGCCCCGCCCACACTCAGCTACTATCACATCTCATATACGGGCCGACCTTGGTGCCTTAGACCCGTTCCTACTGGAAGAGGACTCACCTCGTACTGCTGAAGTCCCGCGAATAAATCCCGGGCTGCTGGCTGACAGATCATCAAGCTGTCAACATCCAAATAAACCCAATTAAAAATTGGATCCCAAATACATATCCATAAGTCCTTGCTTGGGTAAAATACTACTTTACCCCTAACTTAGCTTGATTCAAACCCAAGGCCCAATCCAAAGGCCCAATAGTCTGATAATCAACTAAAGCCCAACTATGGCCCAATTTTCTGAATTGGGCCTAAATCCTTCACATGGTCTTACTTTAATGGACCAACCATCTATTTTGGTCCAAACACTTGGAAATCCAATATTCCAATACCTCATAATCTTCAAGGCCCAGTTATGGCCCATCTATAGCCCAATTTTCCAAATTGGGCCCAAGCCTGTCCAATGGGCCTTATCCTATAGCCCAGTCTAATACTCTATTCCTTATACTTGTTCCTGGATGGTCCATCAATAGTCCAAAACATCTAGGCCCAACAGGAGGCCCAACTCCAACCCAACAAAATTAGGGTTTTCACATGAAATGATGATTAGGGTTAAGTGTTCTCACTTAACCCATTAAGGACTTAACCCATTAAGTCCATTATTCCTCTAGGTAATCATACAATGGAATCAGAATGAGTCATAACTACAGTCCACTGGTCCAAACGCGGGTCCGAAAAGGCCCAAACCATCAAACTCACAATAAGGGTTTTCTAAACCCTAATTAGGGTTTCTAGCTCAGTAGTGAACCAACCAAGCCCAACATTAAGCTTTTAGGCCCACTAGGGTTCTACTAGGCCGGGCACCACCCACTGCCACCTTGGGCAGTGGTGGTCAGCAGCGGCTCACGGCGGCAGGCGGTGGTAGCCACCATTTCCAATGGTGGTGGCTTGGAATCTTGACTCAAAAATCGCGTATTCAAATTCATATCCATAAAATACCCACTCCCACACACAATAACGCACACACAACCACCTCTCACGGTGGCTGGTGGTGGCAGAAACAATGATAGTGGCGGCAGCCACCACCTTGAGGTGGTGGTGGTGGGTTTTCCGGCCAATAACTCGCACATAGAACCTCCCAAGCCGTGAACAGCCTAACTACTTGACCGTTTCTATATTCAGCCACCTCACAGGTGGCTGCCGTCACCGGAAAAAGGTAGTAGGTGCGGTCAGAAGGTCACCGGCGGCAGCGGTGACGCGTCTGACGTCGAGCATGCACGAAAAGGGACGGAGGAGAGGGGAGAAAGAAATGGCAGAGGGTCTTACCAGGGATTTCCGACCATTTGCGAATCCAATCCGCCGAACACAGCTTCGATTGTGGGTCTCGGTGATGTCTCCGGCTGCCACGACGTCTCCGGCAACAGGCTTCGGTGGCTATTAGACGGCAAAGGTGCAGCGCTACAATGGCGAGGCAGCAGCAGCGGACGGCATGGTGACGAAGGCGGCGACTGAGGCTGTTACGAAGGGTGGTGGCGGATGGAGTAAAATGGTGGGGTTAGGGTTTGCATCTCCAACATAACAGGAGGGAACAACTGCCAAGTTCTAATCCCGCATCCCTTCAAACTTTAATTCAATTGTCTAACTTTAGTCCCTCCTCCCAATTTTGTATTCAATTTAAATCCGAATTTTTACCTTTTGAACCCTGACTTCAAAAGTCCCTTCATACGAGGTCCTTAAATTTCCAAATCAGCCCCCCACGCCTTCAATCTTTTCAATTTAAGCCCATTAATTACCAAATGCACCCTGACCACTGAAAACCCTTTTCAAATTAAATCCATAACTTACACTTTTAACCCCCAACTTCTGAAATTGTAACAATTAACCCTCGATACCAATGCCTTGCTATATAATTATTGATTTTAGGGCTACTGTACACTCATCAATTTATTTATTTATTTATTTAATAAATGGGGTGTTACAACAATGCCCAAAAAATTAGGGTTTTCATCCCCAACGTCAACTCGTCGAGCTGGGGCCTTCCAACTCGTCGAGTAGACCCTTAATCCCGCGTCGAAAAAGATTCCTACACGACGACTTGAAGCTCCCTCGCTCGTCGAGTTCCAGCCCAAACCCTAAAATATTGAGAAATAAATAATACCTGGATCAAGCGTTACACGTCGCAGTGGAAAAAGTAGAATGTTGTTGTGGAAAGTCACTGCGGCTCGGATAGAGGATGAACGCGAGTTCATTAGACGCACCACAATGCGGTGAGAGACCCACCGCAGAGCAGTGTCGCAAACAGATTAAAGGTTGTTAAGCCGTCATTCTCGTCATAATGCACCCCAAAACCCTCCATACCCAAGCTCTAGCGATTTTGAGATTTGGAGAAGGATCAAGAAGTGATGAAGGGGGCTTGTGGCTTTGATTAGACATTGAAACCTCATAAGGTAATCATCTTCTTCATCCTTGAGATTTTAGGGATTTAATGGTGATTATTGAATTTGACTTAAATGTGAAAGATTACTTTAAGGAAGCTTGTTATTGATGCCATTAAGAGTGTTTAGGAGCTTTGAACAAGCTCTATATGTGATTTCCAAGGTGAAATCTATAAATGAGAAGTTAGGGTTTGAAACCCTAACTACTGGTAATGTTAAATTGATGCACTAGAGATTAGAGTGTAATGAATCAGGTAATATGAGATGCATAGTTCATTGTTTGGATTGAATTTAGAAGTAGAAAATGAAATGTTAGAATTATGATCAATTAAGTGATCATTTTGACATTATGAAGTAGATAATCTCTTAATAGGATAAGACAAGTATTAAGAAACTTGTATATGTGTATGAATAAGCCTAAGAGCAAAGAAGATGGATCAAGATCCTATTGGGGTTTTCAGGTTACAATCAATTTGTACATGCGGAATTTCACATTACTCTTAAGTGTACAAGCAACCTAAATTGGATCTATGTATTTTCTCAATTAATAACAACATACTTATGAAACAAAAACTAAAAATCCTATGAAATCAAATTTCATGAATAGAAACACCTACCTTTTGCTTGATTCGAAACAAGCTAACCAAAAGCCTAGTAGTATCCTTGAAAAACTAGCTCCAAAAGTATGGCCGCCTTTAATGCGTCATACCCAAAACTCAAAAACCCTAAGATTGAGGGAGAGAGGGGAGAAAGAGATATATATATATATATATATATATATATATATATATATATATATATATATAATTTTCAGAATTCACTTGTGTGTTAGGAGTGACCAAAAATCACAAGGGGTTATCCCCTTTATATAGCTGCATGATTATCCCAGAAATCCTAGATTTGAACTTAAAATAATTATATTTCAAATCAGTAATTATCTAGTTTCCTTTTATCAGTTGGAGGTTTCTAGAAGCTCTATCAAGAGCCTCCAAAACCGTCCAAGGCTAGGAGGATTCTAGATCATCTCTTTTGTTCAACCCAAAATTAATTCTTATTAATTATTAATTAATTATTACCATATCTAATTAATATATTAATCATGTAATATATTAATAAATCATTTATCTGAACTTCCGGTGATGGTTTCCTCTTCGTCTTTTTCATAGATATAAAACCACTACCATCACTTTTTCGTCTTCGTCTTTCTAGATCTGAGGTGGTTTACATTTTGTAAACCCTAGCTCCCAAACGACTTTGCAGATCTCCGTCTTCCCATTCTCACTGCCTTCTCTGAAGCCGTCGAACGACCACCAGAACAGATCTGGAAATATATGTCGTCTTTCATCTCCACTGGAAAAATGGAAAAGAACTCTTGAATTATATGACATCACCGATGAAGGAAACTCGAGCAGAGAAGGATAGATTTGAGCCACAATTTGTCGGAAACTCGAGCCACAATTCGTCGACGACGATGCAATTTGTAAACGTGTGCAAACCATTTGAAAATCACCATCGCCGTCTGCTAGAAATCGAGTCCGAGAAGGATGACTTGAGAAAGAGGGTGACGGCTCCAGTGTCGAACATATATGGAAATATGCAGCGAGGGTTTTCAGATCGACGGCGTTCCGACGAAGTGGTCCATGTCGTCTTTCAGATATTCCAGCGACAACGATGGCGGTTTCTGGCGAAAATGGTTGCGGTTTCCGATGGTGACGGTGGTTTCCGACAGTAGGGGTGGTTTTCGACGAAGTATTAGAGAGAAAGAGAGAGAGGTGGGATTTGGGTGGGTTTATTAGGGGTAAATTTATTTTTATTTTCTTGTTTTAAAAAAAAAAACTGAAAATCAGAAAAATAAATAGAAAAAATAAAGAAAATCATATTAATAGGGGCAAATCTGTCATTTTGAAAAGACTAAACTGCACAAATGGTCCATGTGGTTAGCTTAAAACTGCCACTTTGGTCCAAAAAGGTTTGGACTAGCACCAGAGGTCCAAAGTTTTCATTTTGTTGCGAGTTTGGTCCAATTACTTTAAACTTTTTTGTAATAACGATTTTACCCTTGTTTTTTTATATTTCAGTTTTTTTATTTATTTAAATATTTTTATGATTAAAAAAAGTAATAAAAATATACCTCCCTCTCTCTCTCTCTCACACACACAATCCAAAACACACCATAATTCTAAAGTTCTTCAAAAAAAAAAAACACACATACAAAACAAACAAACTCATAAATTTGAAACATTTCTGGAACTAAATAAACAAAAAAAAAAAATCCTAAAATCGAATGTGAAGCACCAAAAAAACCCATAAAATGATATGAAATCGTATGTTCTTCAAAATTATTTCTGGAACTAAAAAACCCAGAAAACAAATCTGTAATCGATTTGTGTGTATGGGATAGATCAAGAAACATCACCGATCAAGAAACAACACCCATTTGACAGGATCCACTGGACAACATTTGGTTTCTCCCTTGAAATATGATCGTAAGAAAGATCAGTAACCTGAATAGAAAACCCAATCGGCTTCAACCCGCCATTAAAATCGATTTACAGCCAAATCGAGCTCGTCGTAAAGGTGGAAATATTGGAAAAAAACAACGATTAGATCTCGGCTACACGAAGAACTCGAACTCTTCATCACCACCGCTGGAAACCCTAGCTGTGCCGCCTGTCCAAACCATAGCGCCACCATCAGATGGGAATAGTCTCCATGAAACCCTAGCCGCCACGAACATCCCAAATCTGTGAGGTAGTAGCAGACAAGGGCAGATCTTTATTAGGGCTAGGGGGGGGGGGCTGTGGCCCCCCCCCTGATTTTTTTATCACAATTAGTCCCTATACTTTAATTTTATACATATTAGGCCCAAAAATATAAAATTTTGACTGTGACCCCCCCTGCTCATCGATTTTTATACATATTATATTTCCGGCCCCCCAAATAAAATGTTGAAGCTCCGCCCCTGGTAGCAGATGAAGAAGAAGGTAGATGAAGAAGCATAGTTCGTCGGTGGACTTGAATCAGATGCACAAGGGATTTGAATCAAATGTCGCTATGAACGTCTCCAACTGGATGGAGAAAGGTGATGGTGGCGGAGTGGGGAGACGCTGAAGTTGAATCATATGCAAGGGGGATGAGAGGAACATATTTATGGTTTGAGGCCAAATTTCTTTTGATTTTCATACCCATACACTAAAACCAAAGAAGATTAATGGTGTTAAGGTTTTAGATGTGGGAGGCAGACGATGACTTGAGAGAGAGAGAGAGAGAGAGAGAGAGAGAGAGAGAGAGAGAGAGAGAGAGAGAGAGAGAGAGAGAGAGAGAGAGAGAGAGAGATTTATTTTTATTTTTATTTTCTTGTTTTTTTTAATCTAAGAATCAGGAGAGAGAGAGACTTTTATTTTTATTTTTATTTTTTGGTTTTTTTAATCTGAAAACCAGGAGAGAGAGAGATTTATTTTTATTTTCTTGTTTTTTTTTTTTTAAATCTGAAAGTCAGAAAAACAAATAAGAAAAAAGAGAAAATCATATTAACATGGGTAAATCCGTCATTTTGAAAAAAAAATCAGAATAGATTGGACTAAAGACGCAACAAAATGAAAGTTTTGAACCACCGGTGCTAGTCCAAACTTTTTGAACCAAAATGACAATTTTCGACAAACCACAAGACCATTTGTGCATTTGAGTCTTTTGAAAAAAATCAAAATAAATTAAACAAAAAGACAACAAAATAAAAATTTTAGAGCACTAATAATGATTCAAACTCTTTTGAATGTGTTGCGCTTTTGTCTTGTAGATAATTGGATCACCTAAACTTACAAAATTATTGAGAAGAGACGCCCACCTTATCAATCTAAACAGGGGCTTATGTGGTTCATAGCGAGCTCGACTCCCCACATATAAAAACCCTTTTTCTTACTAACATTTAACAGCAGCACTCAATCTCATCATCTCACCAACAAATCCAAAACGCACAACCAAAGCAACAACGATGGCGAGCAGCAAACCAACGGAAATCGGCAGCTCCAAAATGTTTGAAGGTTTCAACAAACGATACAAGCATCAATCCCCGACCCTCGGTTGCTCTATGAACTTCCACATCTATTTCCCTCCCTCAACTTCTCCTGATCAAAGATTCCCTGTAAATCTACTTCGCCATATAAGTCAACAACTCGTTGATCCTTATTTTGTTTACATGCTTACATTTTAAAAGTGTTTTAGGTTGTTTACTGCTTATCATTTTATGACATTTGTTATTAGATCGTTGTTTTACTGTTTTGGTTTAGGGTTTTCGATCGTGGGGTTTGTGCAGTTTAGTCATTTTGATCTTAGTTGCTTTTAGATGTCTGGGAAAACAAGAAGTATAATCACTAGGGCTAAACATAGAGGGATGAAAAGGGGATCTATGTTAATATACAAATCCATGCAAGAAAACATATATGTCTGCCCTTAACCACACATACATACATCAACAAATACGAAAAGAGAATACATATTGTTATCTTTTAATAAATTTCATCACAAATTTCTTTCCTTGTTTGGGTAAAAGTGTTCTAACAGACTTCAATATTTGGTTATGGTTTAGGTACTATACTGGCTCTCCGGTCTTACTTGCAATGATGAAAACTTCATTATCAAGTCAGGTGCTCAGCGAGTTGCATCAACTGAAGGCATTGCTTTAATTGTTCCAGATACATCTCCAAGTAATTCACCCATTTCTTTTTTCATTTGAAACCTTTTTTTCATATATCTGGTTTTTACTTAAGATCATGGAAATTACTAGCTCTTTATGTTCCGATATAGGAGGCCTAAATGTGGAGGGGGAAGCAGACAGCTATGATTTTGGTGTTGGTATGTTACAGGAAATCAAAAACTTTATATTAATATTATTAGTTATTAGTTAATGTCTTTGTATCTCTTCTTGGTGCAAAAAATAACCAGAAACAAAAAGTTTGACTTGAAAATGTTTACATTTAAATCAGGTGCTGGATTTTATCTTAATGCTACTGTGGAGAAATGGAAGAACTGGCAAATGTATGACTACATAGTCAAGGAACTTCCGCAACTTCTAAGTGATAACTTCCCTCAGCTTGATACATCAAGGGCATCCATAAGTGGTCACTCTATGGGTGGACATGGAGCACTTACAATCTATTTAAAGAACCTAGACAAATACAAGGTATGTTTGATGTTTGATGTTTCATAATCATATGATGTTTATCACTTTATTGGGATCTTTTTCTTCATCTTAGTTCTTCTTTTTGCAGTCGGTGTCAGCATTTGCACCTATTGTGAATCCTATTAATTGTCCATGGGGTCAAAAGGCATTCACAAACTATTTGGGTGATGATAAGACTGCTTGGGAGGTATATATATCTTTAAATATAAATTCTTGCATATAGCAACAAGAAACACGTGTTCATAGTCTTTGAAATAACTCATGAAATATGCAGGAATATGATGCAACTTGCCTGATTAAAAAGTTCAATGATGTTGCAGCTACAATCATGATTGACCAGGTTGAAATTTGGAAATTAAAATTGATCTTTTTCAGTTGTATATAATTGGGTAACATCCCCTTAGTCTTATAACTTTGTTTATTATTGTTTGTGTAGGGAGATGATGACAAGTTTTTTCATGAGAATCAGTTGTTGCCAAACAAGTTTGATGAGGCATGTAGGAATGTGAAAGCTCCTCTTTTGTTGCGTATGCAGCCTGGTTATGATCACTCTTATTATTTCATAGCCTCTTTCATTGATGATCACATTCGTCATCATGCTCAAGCTCTTAATCCGTAAGCTTTTAAAGCATATGTTGTTGATGCTTTTATGGACATGATGATAACTTCAAACTTTAGAGAAACTTGTTGGTTGTGTGTGTGTGTGTGCGGGTGTTTCATCTTGTTGTTTTTTTATGAATCGGATGAAGACACGTGTTTTTTTTTTTTTTTTGACTGAAAGAATTATGCATTGGAGCAGAGTGAACCTGGACCATGTTTATGTAATGGTTGCAGAGTTGTGAACTATAGTCTGATATTATATGATATTATCCACTTTTTAAATATGATGAGATGTAATGTTTCTTAGAGATGGTAGTTTTTTTTTCAATTATATTGGTAGGTCAAGGGTGGGGAACAGCAGAATTTGATTGATTGGCACTACTTATCATCATGGATGCTGCTTGGATTGCCTTTTAATTGAAGTGTATAACTTTTTAAACAATGTGACTGAGATAAGTTTCTTTTGATTATCAAGTTTGTCTAAATCTAGATTAATAGAAAGCAAAAATAATACAAAAGAAAGAAAAGGGTCATGTATCAGAAAAGAAATGGACAAAATAGTGCCAATACGACTGGTTTTGATTCTTATTAGAAGATGTATATATTTCTGTTTGATCCTAATACAACTCGAATCAGTCCAATCAATAAAGATTTTATGCAACAAACGTATGATATTTTTTGTCAACAAATATACTAGACAAATATGAAGATCACATGTAATTTTGTTAAAACATTGTTGATTTTTCTGTTGTTTGAGTATCACGGTGGGATAAAAGGATAACATGTATTTGTAATAATAATGTAGAAATATAGAACGTCTAAAAACAATCACATTTTTATTGTCACGTAAAACATTCGTAGTAGCATAAAAAGATGTATAGAAAAAAAAAAAAAAGAAGGATAGACGTGCAGTCATTGTGCCAACATAAAATTTATTTCGAGACACAGGGGCGACAACTAGGTAAAGGGTTCATACATCAGAAACGTAAATTGATATATCGAATTGCTAAACGTAAAGCATAGATCCGTTGTAGTCTAGTTGGTTAGGATACTCGGCTCTCACCCGAGAGACCCGGGTTCAAGTCCCGGCAACGGAATTTTTTTTCGAGCTGTTAGATGAATGGCTACTTTATATTTTTCAATTTTTTTTCGAGCTGTTAGATGAATGGCTACTTTATATTCATAACTTTATAAACTTAAAAGACTTTATGTACATTTATATAAGACTAATATTCATACCTTTACCAAATTAAAGAGAATAAAATGTTGGCTTTTTTATATAAATTGTATAATTACCACATTGATTAAGTAAATGAAAGTAATGTATTCTATACTTCAAATAATTCTTTAATTTGCCCTCATAACCGTCTTTCCATTACCCTTCCATTTAATTATGATTTTGTTATCCCATTTTTAGAGTTGTTGATCTAGTTCATCCAACTGTTTATCTGTGACTCTTATGCATTAGTAAATTATAATTTTATATTAGAAATTCAAAACTGATGTGTATTGGTATATTATATCGAATACAAGTAAATGATGTGTAGTTTTTTTTCATTAGATGCTGAATTTTTTTTGTTGAGTGATACAAACAATAAAAAAGAAAAAGCAAAAGTCCAAACGATAACATTCACCTACCAAATACACAACTGACAATGCCATAATCTAACTTTATTCTAAGCAAGAAAACTAAATCCCCTCAGCTTGAAAAAGCATGCCCATCCTGCAACGGCTGAACAGGTACAGCATAAGGAGAATCCCAGTCAGCATCAAATATCTTCTGAAGCTGCCCCACAATTCCCGGATTATACGTCCCAAAACTTACCCCAACTGTCGCGTAAAAATAATCCCACATCAAATTACTTGTCCCTATATGTGCACGCGTGTCACTAACCGCATATTTACCATGGTTAACCCTACCAAAACCAGGATACTTATTTCCTGTACTTGTCCCATTAATAACAGCAGCCC